CCACTATTTTCCAATTACAAAAAGTATTTAAGAGATGTTTGTTTTTTATATTCGTCTCTGATTCTAAATCATAATTTATGGTTTTTTACAGTATTTTCTCTCACAAAAAATACACGTAAAACGAGAATAGTTCTGAATCATGATTCTAAATACATAAACCAAACGTCCTCTTACTCTTTTTCTGAGTACAAACATAAATCAATCACTTACGCCCTACAAGTTCTATTACAATTTAGCTGAAGGCAACTTTGAAAAATTGAAAACAAAAAGTTGGCTAAAGCCGCAAAATTAGACAACATTATCATTAAGGTCCATAACATAAATCACTATAAATTATGATTCAAATCATAGTTCGTAGTTCGCTACAGTATTTTTTTTCATAAAAAATATACGTAAATTGAGAATAATTTTGAATTCATCAACCAAACGTCCCTTAATTTAAAATTTTAAAATGACGAGCACATGTATATAGTAAACAACTAAACATCACTTTCTTTCTAATCCGACTTAGATTTGTAAAGGTTGAAAGCCACTCAAGAACTTGCGAAACCATTTTTTTTTCCCAATACATTGTATATACATATATGCATATCTACGAAGTTCGATTAGCAGTATCTACTTTTCTTCCGTATGATTTTCCGATCAGATTAATACTATATACTAAAGGAGAGGGGGCATAGATGTCTTTTGATGCTTTATGGCTTGATTTTACCGTGTTACCCTCGTTTGCTTCCTTTTCCCCTTGGCTTGCCCATTGGGCTTTTTTGTCATTTTGCTGGGCATTGGAGCCTAATGTTGATTTCTCTTTGATGGCTTTCATTCTGTCAGCCGCTTGTATACTCTATTCTTGTCGATCGACGTTTGGTAGGAGAATTTAAATTATAATTTGATTTATGATTTATAATTCGTTATAATATTTTCTCTCATAAAAAATACACATAAATTGAAAATAATTCTAATCTCATAATTCTAATTCATGAACTAAACGTTGCAGCGGTCATAAAATATCCCCCATTGTGTCATATCATTTTATAATATGTTGGCTGCGCCAAAGTAACAAGAATATAAGACGTCTGGTTAATTGGTAAAGTGCAAACAAATCAGCCAAAACTATATATATATATATATATATATATGTTTTTTTCCTGCAGAAAATAACCTTCATGTGTGTGTCTATATATATATATATATATATATTAATGTCCTAAGTACCATTAATTTCTATGTTTAGAAGAAGAATGATGACGAAGATTGCATACTTGCATCCACAGTGATCCACTGGTAATTAAGACATCTGATTGACTGATTTTTTTAAATTTTTTTAAATTAAGGCAAGTTGATCTTATGTGACATCGTCAGTTGTGACTTGCAGGACTGTAACCCATAAAAATCTGATCATGCATAATCATAAACTAACTAGCCCATTGAGTACTCTCTACATCCTTTTCTTTATTGGAAGTCAACTAGCAGTGTTATATATAGGGTCTGTTTAGTTCGCTGATTTGAGTTTTTAATTCGAGTTGAGATGTGACTATGTGAGAGCTTTTTACTGTAATAAAAAAATTAGATGTGACTGTTTTTGAGAGCTTTTTACTTTAACAAAACTCAAATTCTAAACTCGAATCGGTGAAATGAACGGGGCTATAATTATACATATATACATGTATTAATAACATAAAATTTTAATATTAGAGATGAATATTGATCTATACCGTAGAATATTAAGGACATGATCTACAAGTCGGTGACTTGTTTTGATTAAAAAAAATATTAATGAGTAAGGACATGATTTTCTTATGATAATATATATATATATATATATATATATACAGGTAAATTAAGTCTTGATTCACATGGTGTTGACAATCACTATAACAAATCCTACATTATACAATGCTTATTTAATGACTTTTTAAGAAAAAAACTGCCGTTTAATATGGTGAAAAAATATGGAATGAAAATTTTCGTGTTTCGAAAATTTCATACTATATATTAGGCGACGGTTTTTAAAAAAACCGTTGTTAAATATTAGACATTAGACGACGATTTTTAAAAAACCGTCCTCTAATGTATACAAAAAAATAAAACTAAGAAAATTTGAGTACATTTGACGACGGTTTTTAAAAATCTGTTGTTTATTCTCCAGCATTTAACGACTATTTTCTCAAAACAATAATTAAATGTCAAAAAATTTCAAAAAAAAAGGGCGGGTTTTTTCCCCCTCATCCTTTTCTTTTCAAATTTCGAAACTTTTTCTTCTCTTCTATAATATCGAGCACTATCTTCTACTTTTCTCTAAGTCTTATTTCCAAACTCTAAGATCCCGTTCATTTCACCGATTCTAATTTAGAATTTGAGTTTTGCTACAGTAAAAAGCTCTAAGAAATAGTCACATCTAATTTTTTTACTACAGTAAAAAACTCTCACATAAAATCACATATCAACTCGAATTAAAAATTCAAATCAGCAAATTAAACGGGCCCTAAATTTTCTCTCAAATCCCCCTCTCACTTCCTCATTCTCTCTCTTCCCCATTCTCTCTCTAATTTCTTCCCCTCCCAAACCTCAATGTTTTCTCTCAAATCCCAATGACCGTGCACCGTTGTCGTCGCCCCTCTCTATTTTAATTGTTGTCGCTGCCCCTCTCCATGTTCACCATCATCGCCGCCCCTCTCCAAGTTCACCCTCGTCACTCCATTGGTAAAATTTAGTTTTTTCGTTTGCATTCAAATTTTTCATTTACTTTTTCTTTGTATTTAATTATTTTTTGTTAGTTAGATTTGTGTTATGTGTACATTGGTGATGAATAGTAGGAACAAACCAATTTGTAATATTTTTTTATATATTGTTATTCTTCTTGTTTGATGAAGTATGGAGATTTTTTTTTTCTAATTTGTAAATAATATGTGAAGATATTATTGTTTAAAAAAAATAAATTTTGGATATTTTTTATTTTTTTTATTAAAATGTCACATTTAACAACATTTTTCGCAAAAAAAACAGCCGTTAGAATAGCATATTTAACAACGGTTTACATAAAAACCATCGTCTAAAGTGCTTTTGTTGGACTTTCACGTGCGTATTAAACAACGATTAAAAAACCGTCGTCTAAAGTGCTTGACATTTAATGATTATGGATAAGACGACGGTTTTTAAACTGTCGTCTTAGATTTTAACTATGGTTATTAACCGTCGTTTAATATGCTAGTTTTACTGGTGAATAAGTTTGCGCACAAGTATTTTCTAATATTGCTTTTATAGACTGAACCAAGCATTACATTTACTTTAAAACACAAACGTTTTCTCATGTGTCGTCACGGGGTTGATATAATGTCTAAATTACCTTCTCAACCTATCACAAATTTTCATGTAAATTTTTGGACTCTTTGATCATGATATAGTATGGTTTGACAAAGTCTCACATTTCAATCTCTAAATAGTCTTTAGAAAATAGAGGTAATAAGTAGCATTTTTCAAAATTAGTAAGATAGAGAAAAGATAGGTACCTAGCAATACATAGCTGGTTATTAAAATAAACCAATATATATATATATACATATATATAAGGTTGCAGCGAGGATATAGCTATCAGGTTCGAAATTTATGCATAGATTAAATCCACTTAATTAATGGGTCAACAACCCTCATTCATGATATACAAAGTTTTGAAATAAAATGGTCCGACTTTCTCATTGGTTTACTTTATTGTTTTTTTTGCTAATCGGGTTACTTTATGGTTGTTTAATCTAATAATTCGCGCCTTGGAATTGGATGAAGTCTTATGTCTATATACTATAGTACAAATTGGAAATAACAAACACTAGCAAAAGTGTTTTCTTACTTCAAGTTTCAATTTTTTATCTCTCTCAATAATAAAAAATGACCAAATTTTCCTTTTTTTTTTTAATGAAGGATTTTTCTAATTATGTATTGTAGGATAATGCCAAATTCAAGTACTGCTCTCCTTGAGATCGTTATGTAATCTGTCATACAATATAAGAGAAATGCCATATTCAACTATACCTAGCCCACTAGAGTAAAATATTGATCGATATTTGTGTGTATATATAGGCTACAAGTACTAATGAACATTATATAGTATATATTCGAGATTAAATTCTGAAGAACCAAATTACTTAATTATATAAGAATTATGGAAAAATTTCCTTCCAAATCTTTTTGGGACGGGGAGATATGATGATAATGGGGTTCCACTTCCATATGTTTGGACTGCTTTCCTGTTATATCACAGATGCATGCACGTAAACTCTGTGTATATAAGAACCCCTTCTTAGTATATTATCACAAGAAAAAAAAAAAAAAAAAAAAAAAAAAAAAAAAAAAAAAAAAGAACCCCCTTCTCAGTAAGATTAAAATAAAATAAAGATAAAAAACCATATATGAGAATCCTCTAATTAAGTTCAATGCTTAGCACGACCACCATACGATCCAATTATAATCTTAGACCAGCTAAATAAAGGAATTGGAAAATAAAAGAGTGCTGCATCTTTCCATCTTTCATTAATATGTAAATTATATATATATATATATGTATGTATGTATATACAAAATATATGTTATGATGAATGAACCAGCTTGCTTTACACGTAACTAAAAAAATGAGTAGATTTAAAAGAACAACAACAACGTATGATATTGAATAAAGAAGTAAAAACCCGGACGGTTCCATAACTTCATTATGAAGTCCGACACTGAGACAAGTTTAATCACAAAAGGGATAACAAAAAGTGACATCATCATCATTGTCATCAAATTAATTACAAACACCTACATAGTAAAATACAAATAAATTACCCTTAGCAAGAACAATAACAAATCAATTCTAAGATACAATATTAGAGATCATGATATATGAATTAGCAGTAGTACTATTCATGCTGAGGATAAGGACTCGATATTTTATATCATCTACTTTTACTGCTCAAATGAAGCCATATATAGATATATATTACGCATGAGGTTCATAATATTGTATATGTTTATAAATGGCTATTTTCGAAGAAGAAGAGGTCTTGCTCGGGATGATAATTGAAGCCTGCAGCCCATGAGAAAATGGAATTATTTTCACTCCACTTTTGTAGAGAGTACGGATCTGATTGTACTACTGAAGCAGATTGATCGATTATCGAATTAGTATTAACATTATTATTGTTGGATTCTTGATCAAGCCGAGAGAACGAGGAAGTGCTAGAACTGTACGAAGTTATTGTGTTGCTGATAAACATTTCTTGGTTCATCCATGTGTAGTCTAGATTATCCAACTTTTGGCACGTGATCAATTCATGGTTATCCAAAAGAATAGCATCATTATTCGGTTCGCCGGAACTCATTACCTTTGTTTGATCATGATCTGCAGGTGATTCTGATCTATTTTCGGCGCATCGATCGCGATCGTGGTCTTGTGGTTTGGTAGAGCTGTTTTGATCATCTTCATGTCCAGATGACATTAATCCTGATAATTTAGACGTGTGAGACTCGGCAGTATCTGTGGTGTCAGCTGGTTTTTGCTCTATATTATCAACAACAACATTATTATTTTGTTTTTGCTCAATGGGCTTGTGAGTCACAGGGTCCAGACCAAGGAGCTTCAGTCTCTTCTTGATTCGGGTGTTCCAGTGGTTCTTGATCTCATTGTCTGTGCGACCAGGAAAATGTGCAGCAATCTTAGACCACCTGCAAAATGTTAATTAGTTACATTTGTGTAGCTATATATGAACAAATTATGAGCAACTATACATAAACCTGCTTTAACAATCAATACAATATATATATATATATATATGTGTGTGTGTGTGTGTGTATAGATAAAACATGATGCATCTTGATCATTACCTGTTACCTAGACGTGAATGTAATTGAATAATTTGATTCTCTTCAACTTCTGTAAAACCTCCTCTCTTAAGATCAGGTCTCAGATAATTAATCCATCTTAATCTGCAGCTTTTCCCACATCTTAGCAAACCTGCACAACAATTTTAGAGCCAGAGAGAGATAAATATGTATACATACACACAAACACATATAGATGATCAATATATATGTATGTATGTATATATGTAGTACCTGCAAGCTTAGGAACCACTCGCCAACAATGGATACCATTATTGAGAATGAAGTTGATTAGCTTGTGATCTTCCTCAATTGTCCATGGACCTCGCTTGAGTCCAACCTTATCACAACAAGGTTGTCTTCCCATTGTCACAAACCAGCTAGCTTTGCTTAGGCCAAAAGCGTGAGAAAATATATCCCTCTGAATATTGGCAAGTCTAACAAAAGAAGGGGGGTTCTTAGCAATCTCCCTTATAGTCCAAACAAAAGATTCCGCCAGTTCATTTCAGGCATTAAAAAAAGGCAAGATGTTGTTTGAGAGGGGAGATAAATGATTGTTTTGGAAAGCATTTTTTGAGTTGATTGATTTAAATATATATATATATATATAT